AAGGGCACAAACTGTTACCAGTATACAAGAATTGAGGGAATACTCTTCCCATGAGCCCTTTCTGAAGACTCTACTAGACAAGTTTCAGACAACTAAAATGACTAGAGAGGATCAACATGAGGAGTAGTATGCACATTAAGTATATGGTTAATTCTAGAACCAGGACTAATTTAGGGTATGAGGAAGATGTACAGTACATAAGAACTGTATATTCTGACAACATAGAAATAGTGTAGCCATTTGGAAAATGGGGGAGAATGGGAAGAGCAGACGAAAACAAATTTTAACATTTTTACTAGTTGTATTTGGTAGTAAAACTAGTATGGTTATTCTGAACCAGTTGTGTGTATAATATGGTATGTCCTTGAGAACTGGAGTTCTTGATGTGGGGGAAAAAATGTAATAGGGGGGTAAATAAAAGCTCTGGCATGCTAAATTTAAAGTAAAAGTTACCAGTTGTCAAGAACTGTGAAGGATCTGAGATTTCATCCCACTCACAGTCTAACCAAGTAAGCCTACCACAGTTCCATAGGTCAGAGGTGAAGAACAACAGTCTATCACAGCAGTATCTGTAACCAGGGAAACAGCTTTTTTTTTTTTTTTTCCCAATTGTGCTTTGGGTGCAAATTTACAGAGCAGAATTTGTTTTACGTTAAACAACTTGTGTACATTTGGTTTCACTCCCTGATCACCATCCCCAACCCTAGCCCACTCTCCTCCCCTCCCTTCCCTGTGACTGACCCTCCTTCCCTGTGCCCTTCTTAGTTGTGCATTTTTATGCTGAATCTGAGCACCAAGTCACACGGGGTGATGGGAAGAAGGCAGATGATATCTGCATACATGTTGGGTTGCATCATAGGAGAGATACATGAAGTTTAGGAAACTCTTTTTCTTTTTTTTGAATTGTGATTTGGGTGAAGATTTACAGAGCAAATTCACTTTCCATACAGCACTTCACATACACTTTGTCTCATGACATTGACCACAGTTTACCACAATGCAACAGCTCCCCTCCCACCTCCTCCTCACAGTTACCTCTTCCCAGTGTCCATCCCTCCATGGACTCCTGCCCCCGAGCTGTGTCCCTGTGCATAAGCAGCCCTTCTTTCTCCACTGATTGTTCTCTCCAAGGAGTGTATCTACTTGAGGAAAATGTTCAACTCATATACCTGTCTTTTGTTTGGTTGGAAACCACAGGTGTGGGTTCAATTCCAGACCTGAAGGGCAGCTAGGGGCCATAGTCTCAGTGGTTCCATCAGGCTCTATCAGACCAGCAAACCTGGTCCCCCCTTTTTTTCCTCCAAGTGATTTTGAGTTGTGTTCCACATTGTTCTCCTTCTCTATCAAGGATCTCCCACATAGATCCCCTTCCAAGTGGATGACAGTGGTAGCTGGGCACCATCTAGTTTTTCTGGTCTCATAGTCATATAGGCTGCAGATCGGAGGGTGTACCAGTTGCTAGGAATAATTGTTTCCATGAATTTTGGTTTTCTTCATTCTTCTTTGCTCTGGACGAGGAGAGACCCATCGTTGCATCTAGATGGCAGCTTGGTAGCTTTTAAGATCCCAGTCGCTACTCACCAAAGTAGGAGGTGGAACAATATTTGTATAGTATGTTATGGCAATTGAGCTTGATGTCCCCTGCAACTATGGTCCCAAGCCCACAGGTTCAACTACTCGGTCCCTCTAGGTAGCTGGCTGTGACCAAGCAGTAACCACAACCTTGCCCCTTGTCAGCTCTGCTATACACCCGGGAAGTCTGATCATTCACATAAACTTATAGGACCATTGTCTGCCAACCCTATATATGTTCTTGGATACATTCCCCATTTCATAGACATACCTAATAGTTCAGCCTGTCCACCCATCTATTCATCCCTATACCCATGTTTGCCTTCATTGACAACGCTGTACTATATGTGCAAAAGGGTTCATATTTGTTGTCTGTACCTCCCATGTACCTCTCTATGTCTTCCTCATCCCAGATGTGTATTGGTCACACACATTTGGTACATTGCCCTTCTCTTCACCCAAATCAATACTTATCTCTGTCTATCTAACAGCATTCCCTTCCCTCCCCTCCCACCCCTGGTAATCAACAAAGAAAATTTTCTTCTATAGATAAACCTTTCCTTAACTTTTACAATAACGGACTAACACAATATTTGTCCTTTTGTGATTGACTTATTTTACTTAGCATAATGTCCTCCAAGTTTATCCACGTTGTGCATTGTTTTGCAGATTCTACATTATTTAGCATTGCATAGTATTCCATTGTGTGTATTTACCATAGTTTGGTTATTCATTTCTCAGTTGATGGACATCTAGGTTGTTTCCATCTTTTGGCTATTGTAAATAGTGCTGCAATGAACATGGGTGTGCCTATATCTGTTCTTGTCATGGCTCTCACTTCTTTAGGGTATGTAAGCTTAGGAAACTCTTGTATTTTTTCATGAGCAGTTAGCAAACTGCCCTTTTCTCTGGACCTAGAACAAAAATACATTGCCCTTGAGTCAATTCTGACTCATAGAAACCTTACAAGACAGAGTAGACCTGCCCCATAGGTTTCCAAAGCTGTGAACCTTTCAGAAGCAGACTGCCACATCTTATTCTCATGGAGCAGCTAGTAGGTTTGAACCACCAAATGTTTGGTTAGGAGCTGAGTGCTGAAACCATGGGACTACCAGAGCTCCTTCTGTTCTATAGAGAAATAGTGTATTTTTCTTGTAAGCTATAAGCAAACTGCTCTGGAGGGAGACATTATCTCTGCCTGCCAAAGTTGTTTGCTATATAAATGCCCTTAGAAAGATGGTCTAAAACAAAGAGCAGTCAGTTGCAAGATGTGTACAAGCACAATGGACCCATGGAGAATATCTCCCAACATCATTATGAATTCATAAGGTATTTCCTAGTTCTGTCCACTGAAAAGACCCAGAAGCTATGACCAACCCAGTAGCAATGAACATCCTTAGTGTCCAGATTGTGGTCTTGAAATACAATTTCTTTCTTAAAGGAACCAGGACTTCTTGAAGAAATGGCCAATTATAGGTCTGGGGCAAAAAGTGTTCAAGATAATCCTGGGATATCTTGTTATACGATAGCAAGGAAGACAGCTAACCTCAAACATCAATGCTGTCGAGTCATTTCTAACTCATAGTGACCCCTCCTTGGGTTTTTGAGGTGGTATCTCTATGGAAGTAGATTGCCCAATTTTTCTTCTGAGGAGTGGCTGGTGGGTTTGAATCACCAGCCTTCTGGTTAGCAGTCAAATGCCTTAGGCACTACACCACCAGAGCTCCTAGAGCTCCCTAGGGCATGCCAAAAGATCAAGGTAGGAGCTAGCTTGAAAAGGCTCCTATTGTGCGAAGATGGGACAAGCTGAGCAGTAATTATTATGGTTGATAAAACACACCAGACATGTTAAATCCTTGAGTTCATAATGATATTTTGAAAAATAATTGATCATCTTCAGAGGATTAAAAGAACCTCAATTCATTATATTGTAAAATGTAATGATATGTTGGAAAAACCAGTAAAGGGACAGGGTCAGGTATCTAGCCTGCCTCTCCCATGTAACTATTATTTTTGTTGTTACTGCTGTTGAGTTGATTTTGACTTGTAGTAACCCCACATGTTCAGAGTAGAACTGTTCCATAGGGTTTTCAAGGCTGTGACCTTTTGAAACAGATTGCTGTCCTGTTTCCTGAGGCACCTCTAGGTGGGCTTGAACCACCAACTTTTTGGCTAGTAGTTGAGTACTTAACCATGCACCATCCTGGGACTCAATAATCAAAGAGTAAATAAGGGAAAGTGTCTCTTTGTAAATATATTTGAACTAATAAATGAGAAAGAAATGGCAGAATTAGACTCACCGTTTCACAACCCCCAGTGATGCAGCAAAGACTGTCAAGAACGTAAAAAGAGAGTAACCAGACATCGCATGCCTCTTGTAATACTGCCTTGGGGCTCAAGCTGGATGGACTCTGATCCAGTCTCTGAATCCAGCTGCCAAATTGCAGCAAATACAGAGGATAGAGGAACAGGTGGAATTGCCCCAAGAGTATGCAGTAAGCAAAATCTGAACTGTGGGAAATTCTTCAGGTCAAAAAGCTCAAGCTCTTCAACAGATAATTTGTAGAAAATTAAACAGACAAATGATGAACTTATAGATTGAGAGAATAAAAAATATTCAATATTCTTAAACAGACAAGACAGAACTATAGTGCCTAGGGATGCACTTTTAGGTAATATGATTATAGTAACAGAAGTGATCACTTTGGAAGTCATAATGTTTAAACTTAGGGAAGGGAGGAGGTTGTGACTGCATGGGACATATGGGAGGGCTTCTGGGGTGACTGGCAAAGTTCTTTTTCTTGACCTGAGTGGTCATTAAACCGTTAATTTGATTCATGTTTCTGTATCTGTATATTAATTTTAGAATAAAAGAATGGAGGAAAAAACACATTCAATAAGAACAGGCTAGCCTGAGTTTTAACATTGTTTTGTATAATAATCTTCTTATGCTACAGACAAGCAAGAGCTGAATTTCATTAGATTATTGAGAACTTAGGAGCATCTAGAGCATTATTCAGCATTTTCAAATTATTATGTTATTGAGCATTCTCTTATACATGGCACCATATTATCCTAAGGCTATACGGGATAGTTCAATGTAGATAAGGTCCCGGTATTACTATTTTTTTTCCTAATAGAGTTTTTTTTTCCTTATTATAACAGTAAAATGTATTTATTATTTAAAAAATTAGAAACAAAAACATATTTTAAAAAATCTGTCATTCTGTTACCCAGAGATGACCATAAATAATATTTGCATATTTCCTTTTATATATTAATACATGCACATAGGAAGAATAGTCAGTTTTGTATCTACTTTATATTCTCATCTCAGGCTCCATATTTACTTTCAGATCTTAGATTAATTGCATGTAGGATCACAATCCCTTTCAATTTATTAGGTTTGGATTTTTCAAAATTCCTAGGTGGACTACATCATGCAGCTGCCCGAATTTCTGGTAACAATGTTTACAAGCATTTGAAGTATGAAGGTGGGATTCACCGAGTTCAACGAATTCCTGAGGTTGGCCTGTCATCAAGGATGCAACGTATTCACACAGGAACAATGTCTGTTATTGTCCTTCCTCAACCAGATGAGGTAACCTCACCAAGAGGCATTGAAAACTCATCCATGTAAACAGGTGCTATGTAGAGAAGCTTCTAGGAAAATCTGTTATTTTCATGGTTACAGATTAAACTTTGCAATCTTAAGTGCAAATCCTTAACTCTCCTTCATGTAAAGTTGCCACTTCTATCCATGACTGTGATATTTGTTTTTTTTTTAAATAGAAGTCGCTTCTTTCCAAAAACCAATCCATAGAACTTTCCTATTGTTGCCTAAGTTTATCTCAAAAAAGAATGAATTCCATAGATAACATTATATCACTGAGATCAATGATTTAATACCTGTGTGGAGTTTATATGTCTTGTAAAAATACAACCATCATCCCTATTTTTCATTGCTTTTCTTTAAACATGGAGAAAGAATAGTACAATGAAAGCTTGTTGTTAAGTGCCATCAAGTTGATTTTCAACTCATACGATTCCATGTGACGGAGTAGAAATGCCCCATAGGCTTTCCTAGGGAAGCAGGTTGCCTTTTGAGCCAGCAAGTGGGTCTGAATTGCCAACCATTCAGTTATCAGCCAAGAGCTTATCCATTGTGCCACCAAGGCTCTTTGCTTGATTCCTATACGTTGTATGTACATTTCTTTAATGAAGGACATAGTAGATATTCTTCAACATTTATCTTCTAAGAATAAGGACATTCTCTAATGGAGTATAAGCATAATATCATTATCTGTGAAAATCAACAATAATCCTGTAATATTGTCTAATATTAAGTCATTTTATAAGTTCTCCAGTCATATTTCTCTAGCTATTTTTTAAAACTAGGATCCAATCATGTTTCACACAATGCAATTAGTCTCTTTAAGTCTGGAACAGTCTCCCAACTTTATATGTTTATGACATTTATTTTTTTAAGTGTTCAGTCTTATAGAATATCCTGCAGCTGGATTTGTTTGATTGTTTCCTCATGGTGTTATTTAACTTGTTCTTTTATCCCATGTAAAGAGGATCCAACAGAATGTGGAAGTTATTGATCAGTATCATTAATATCACACATAAGTGATATTTTGCCGAAGATTATTCAAAAAGGGTTGCAACAGTATATTGACAAGGAACTTCCAGAAATGCAAGCTGGATTCAGAAGAGGATGAGGAACAAGGGATATCATTGCTGATGTCAAATGGATCTTTGCTGAATGCAAAGAATACCAGAAAGATGTTTACCTGTGTATTACTGACTATGCAAAGGCATTTCACTGGGTGGTTCCTAACAAATTATGATTAGTATTTGTGAAGAATGGGAATTCTAAAATACTTAATTGTGCTCATGAGGAACCTGTACATAGACCAAGAGGCTGTCGTTCAAACAAAACAAGGGGATACTGCATGGCTTAAATTCAGGAAAAGTGTATGTCAGGGTTGTATTCTTTGACCATACTTGTTCAATCTATATGGTGAGCAAATAATTCGAGAAGCTGGACTATGTGAAGAAGAACACAGCATCAGGATTGGAGGAAGACTCATTAACAACCTGCAATATGCAGATGATACAACCTTGCTTGCTGAAAATGAAGAAGACTTGAAGCACTTACTGATGAAGATCAAAGACTATAGCCTTCAGTATGGATTACACCTCAGCATAAAGAAAATGAAATCCTCACAACTGGACCAATAAGCAACATTATGATAAATGGAGAAAAGATTGAAGTTGTCAGTGATTTCTTTTTACTTGGATTTATAATCAACACCCATGGAAGAAACAGTCAAGAAATCAGACATCATATTGTACTTGGAAAATCTGCTGCAAAAGACCTCTTTAAAGTTTTAAAGAGGAAAGATGTTACTTTGAAGACTAAGGTGCACCTAACCCAATCCAATTATTTAAATTACCAAGCCAGGGTATTTTCAACCACTTCATATGCATGTGAAAGCTGGACAATGAAGAAGGAAGACTGAAGAAGAGTTGATGCTATTGGAAATTCCATGGACTGCCAGAAGAATGAACAAATCTGCCCTGGAAGAAGTGCAGCAAGTGCAAGGAATGCTCCTTGGAAGCAAGAAATGGCCAGACTTCGTCTTACCTGCTCTGGTAGTATTGCCAAAAGGGACCATTCCTCGGAGAAGGATATCATGCTTGGTAAAGTAGAAGGTCAGCGAAGAAGAGGAAGACCCTCGATGAGTTGGATTGACAACAGTGGCTGCAACAGTGGGCTCAAGCAAAGCAAGGACTGTGAGGATGATGCTTGACTGGGCAGAGTTTCATTCTGTGGTACATAGGGCCATCATGAGTTGGAGCCGACTCAATAGCATCTAACAACAACAATTTTCAAAGTTATATCTGAGTGTTCAATTCCATTCTGGTTACACATTTTGAGCAAGAATTCTTTATAGGTGAAGTTATATTCATGTTGCATCTTATCAGAAGATACATAATATCAGATTATACCACTCTTAGTGAGTGAGCATTTAGTTAAGGTGATGACCACAAAAATCTCTCTATTGAAAGTGTAAAGTGTCTTTTCCCTTTGTAATTACTTAGAAATCTCTAATGTACACATATATCCTGCTTCTAGTGACTTTTATTCATGGTAATCTTTGCTAGCATCAGTTACTTAGTTTGTATTTGGAAAATGGTGAATTTCTAATTATATCATCCTGCCTAGGAGCTCTGGTAGCATAGTGGCTAAAGCACTTGACTGCTCACCAGAAGGCTGGCAGTTCAAACCCACCAGCCACTCCTCGGAAGGAAGGTTGG